AGAGAGAGAGAGAGAGAGAGAGAGAGAGAGAGAGAGAGAGAGAGAGAGAGAGAGAGAGAGAGAGAGAGAGAAGATGTGCGAGGTAAGAGGAGGGATCAAATAAAGGAGAGGTAGGTGGGATGGTGATTCGCTATCTCAGAATCGTACACTACTGCTCTGGCTGATTCATGATGTTGATGGGTGTAGATTGATTGATTGATTGATTGATTGATTGATTGATTGTTGATTGATTGATGGATGGATGGAGTGGATGGATGGATAGGTAGATGGATAGATTGATTGATTGTGCAAGGTAGGAGGAGCGAAGGAGGTGTTGAGTGAGATCGTGCTGCTCTTGCTGATCTAAAATAGCACGGACGTGACCTAAAGTACTAAAACGGACGTGAATTGCTGATCTAAAAATAGCACGGCCTGACAACACGGCCGTTGTCCTGTCGTTGCCCTTTTTAACTTCGGTGGGCCGGCGGCTGTTCTTTTTTTGCCCACGTCTGCTTTTTTTTCCCCATTCGAAACTCTGTTGTGCCATAAATGCACTTGCCCCCAAAGTCAAAGAATGTGATGATGATAATGATGATTCTGCCAACGAGCAGTCTGCGAGCTATAGCATGATGTTAGACGCGTTTACGCGAAATGAATAGCAAGTGACATGACACTACCGTCGTCCCCCGAAAGCAACGGACCCTCATCATGACTGTAATTTGGCTGGAAAGGTGGATAGTATGAATTCACATTGAGGGTACGTTGTGTTCGAGGGTACACAACATGACATAGCACGACAAAGCATCAGATAGGGCGGCATAGCAGTCGATAGCAGGGTATAGCATAGCATAGCATAGCATAGCATAGCATAGCATAGCAAGCATAGAATAGCATAGCATAGCATAGTAGATCCAAACTGTGTTCACTTCTTTTGCTCTCTCCAGACGTCGGATTTGATATGTTTAACAAGACTAGAACAACAAAAGAAATAGCAACAACGCCATACTGCACAGCATAGCACGGCATAGCACAGCATAGTACAGCATAGAACAGCATAGCACATCATAGGAGCGCATACCGGGACATACCTCAACATAGCACGGCATAGTAAAGAAGTACGACAGAGCAGAGCATAGCGCGTTATAGCAGGCAATCTCATGGCGTAGAATCTGCACAGCATAGCATGGCATAGCACAGCATACGAGCGCATGCCGGGCCATACCTCAACATAGCACGGCATAGCAAGGAAGTACGACAGAGCAGAGCATTGCACGGTATAGCAGGGGATCTCATGGCATAGGATCTGCACAGCATAGCAGGGCATGACACAGCATAGCACGGTATAGCACAGTATAGCACAGCATAGGAGCCCATGTCGGGGCATACCTCAACATAGCACGACATAGCAAGGAAGTACGACAGAGCAGAGAATAGCACGGTGTAGCAGGCAATCCCATGGCATAGCATGGGTTAGCACAGCATAGCATCCGACAGCAGGGTAAATCATGGCATCATAGTATAGCATATCTCAGCATGACAGAGATGCAGGTCAAGGTTGGGCTAAGCAAGGGCAATAAGTCCTACTCATCTCATCACACAACATACAGGAAGCACGGCATGCCAGGCGACAGCATACTATAGCAGAGTATAGCATAGTATAGCATACTATAGCATAGTATATCGTAGTATAGCATACCACAGCATCGTATAGCATACCATAGCATAACATAGCATGACAGAAATTCGAACGGTCCTCCCTCCTTTTGCTCACTCTCCAGTTGTCCGATCTCGTCTTTCGACCTCTTTCATTATTATTATTATTTTTTTTTTTTTTTTGATTTTTTGAAGTTTGAACTCTTTCATTTTTTTTTTTTAAAGGGCAATGGCCTTGAGGTATTATCATCGGACTAACCAGCCCAGGTAAATTCAATATTGTGTCTGATCTGACATCGGGTGGCCTTTTCAGCTCAGGGTGGCCTTTATTTATTGCCTTCAGGGAACCCCCAACGGGGGACACCGGCCAGGGGACAGCCGGTGGCAGAGGGACCGAGCATCATCTGAGATTCTGAGTGGCCAGTCGCTGTGCCTCCTGGTGGGAAAAAAACAAAAACAAATAATTTAAAAATGAAAAGTTGATGGCATGTCGGCAAACTTGGGCAAAGTAAAGGTGCAGGGCAGCGTTGGACCAGGCAAGGGCTATAAGGCAGAATCAACTCATCACCCTACATAAATCTCTCTCTCTCTCTCTCTCTCTCTCTCTCTCTC